GTATAATTTATAGTGAGTTGCCAGGGGCTTACGAGTGCTGGTAGTGCAGTGTAAGCAGGGCGGTCACGAAGACTTCAAGTTACCTGGTATAATCATGCAATTATAAGTCAGTGGGGAATTGAACAGATAGGAATTTCTTTTTGTTCCATTTTCCTTTTGTTTTTTATGGAAATACTGTAGCAGCTGGGTGGGTCACACTTATATAGTAGCCTTGGGAAATCCTTGATCCCTATACCCCTTAGCACTTGTTCTGAGTGTAAGGCTACATGTAGGATTAGCTGGTTAATATTATTATAGGTTTACATCAAAGTGCTTGGTTCATGTTTTGGGCACATGGCAAGCAAACTTTGTTTGTGGAAGAACACTATGTACATTTAGGTGCTGGTAGGATTCTTTGGCAGCTCTTGGGACTTGCAAGTCCACCGTCTTGTTGAGACAGAAGTGCTGGGTAATCACAGGGTAGGATAATGTAACTCTTTGCATATTGTTTTCTTTAATATGGTTCCGTGTTCATGCTTTTACAGATTGTGGACCAACTTTAACTCCATTAAAGGGGAGTAAAGTTTTTGAATTTAATGGCTCCAACTATTACGATTTGACTTGGAACTACAATACTGATGGACGTACAATCAAAGAGGTGCAGCTGCAATATATTGGCGCAGGAAATAATGATATAACTGTGGCTGGGAGAAGTCCCACGGGACGACTTCAAGTTAATCCAGCAAGTGGCTACACAGATAGCAAAATCAGCTCCTTTGGATCATTGTCAGGAAATGTAGGACAGATCACTTTCCGTATATCCAAAATTGTTCAGAGTGACAGCAGGATATTCAAATGTGACCTATCTTTCAACTCATTTAATCCCCCTGATATACAAAGCTCTGTTGAACTTGTAGTGGTTGGTAAGTAAAATATTATTTTATTGTGCTCTGTAGAGTGCAAGCAATTACATATAACCCTTTCCTTGCAAACACCTACCCTAGTCTCCTGTGCGGACATTCTTAGGGGTGCATCATGGGTTCCTGTCCCACAAAAGTCTGCTAAAACGATCAGTTATATTTCTTTCTCATTGTTCGCAAATGTCAACTGGAGCTCAAGTACTGACTATCGGAGAACCGATCGGCACTGTTGAAGTCAAAGTGTTGACCAGCCAAACAACACACAAGCTCGGTATAGAGTGTGATACATTAATTGCGGTACGTGACAAAAGAGTTTTGCTCCGGACAAGAATGTAGGAGATAAGGGTTGGATTATTTCTCTCGGTACAAACGTGTCCGAATTGATTGAGCAGTTTGTTCTAAAAGTGAGATGTTCCTGATCTTTTCTGAAGTCTTGCGCAGAATTTCTCAAGGTCCAAAGTGAACTTCCCAGATCAGAAGTGTGCTGTGATTGGTCTACGTTTTTTCCCTCTCTTTTCTGCAGACGTTTGTGGGGCAGGAATATGTTATGAACCCCTAAGAACGTCTGCGTGGGAGGCACCCTGGTACCCTGAGGAGCAGTTTCCTGAGAGTAAACGTCTTTGGTGCTTATTGAAAGCACTGATGGTACCAAGAAAAAGACCTCACTGATACGAAATCAGTCTACAGTGTAGGTCATTTAATTTTTTGATTTACGTGGTATTTTGCAAGGGTTAATTTACCAGAACATTCATATTAATACAGTGAAACCTCAAGTGTCCGCTTTATAGAGGTTTGTCGATAAAAATTGTGCAATGTTTGTTAACTATTAACATTCAACAGTTACTAGTAAAGTACAGTGATAAAGTTCCATGTTGTTAAGGAAGCTATCCAGAGTTCAAGTTCATTACCAACCGGATATTGGTCTAATCTACAGTTTATTGACAGCTAAATGTACTGATTTATCTTTATTAATCGACTGCAATATATATTTCAAGAACATAATCCAATGCTGCTATTGTCAATTCAGTCTAGTGTCTGTTTAATAGAGTTTTTTAACAACAGAAATTAGCCAATTACAATCTATTTTAGTGTCTGCATCTGCTTAATAGAGGTGTCTGCTGAATAGGGGTTCATTATAGAGGGAAATCGAAGACATTAATTTCAGGACCCGGCTTAGTGCCAGCTTAATAGAGGGTGTTCGCTTAATTGGGCGTCCACTTAAATGGACAGTGTCCCGATTATGCGCACACGTGAGCGTCATCTGTTTTTTCTTCAAAAGACAATAGACTGTCATAATAGACTTGACAAGATTTCCTTCCGGGCGGCACCACCGACGATGATTTGTTGTTTACATTCTCAAGTAATATTTTAGAGTTTCAAAGAAGTCTTTCCTCTTATCTAAAATTTGGCTCGTGGCATGAAGACTCATTGTAATTTTGTCGCTAGCAGGGCCGCCTCACGACCCAAAAACTCTTGATCCGCTCGCTTTAAGAACAGCTCTTCTAATGTTAACCTCGTGTCAGAGGTCAATTGTTCCAAGTCCAGTAATATTTTGCCTGATTTGCTCGCATTCTAGCCTCAAACGTTTGAAAGACGTAAATAAAAATGCAATCTCAATGCTATGAATCATCGCAAAGGTTAGTAAAAAATTATATTATGATTTCGTGGCACTAGTTTTTCTAAACCTCTTTGTTTGATTCTGTCGGCCGTAGGTAGGTTCATATTTCAAGTTTACTAACACGTCGTTGCAAAACGTTCCGCTTTACGAAGCTTAATTCCACAAGACCTCCTCAGCCACATCAATGTCTCAATGGTTTCTTTCTTACAGTCTTTATTGTTGCTGTTTCATTTCTGTGCATTCCTTTCACAATTATCTGAGCTTGTATGGAAGCTAGCAGAAGAAATAAGCCTTCAATCGGCATCAAAGCACTTCCCATCTTTTGGTCCTCCGGCCAACGACAATAAAAATGACGCCAATAAATCCTGATTTCACCCAAATCAAAACTTAACGGGAACAATATATCATTGATCTGTAATCCTGAGAAGTTTTAGTGTAGTATTGAACTCAGCCAAATGCGATGCAAATGGATTTTTCAAGGTTCTATTACCCTCCTTACATTTTTTGATTTCACGACATCCTGTCCAAAAATCAAAGTTTGGTGCATGCGCAGTAACGGGATACTGTTCCTTTAATAGAGGTTTCACTGTGCACTGTAACTAAGGACCTGTTTACATGGAGGTTGGGACACCAGGTAGGTGAGGTAACCTGCTTAGGTGGGGTAAAAACAAAACCTTCCTTTACATGTACATGCAATCTTACAACCCCGCCATCCAGGGGTGCACTTTCTCAAGATTATTGAATGGTTGCTAAGCTAGTAAACAAGAAAATGCTGGCAAACCACGTGTTTTGGTATTTAATGCTATTCTATACTCGCTGCTCTTGCTGCAACCTTCAGTGCTGTGGCATTCTATGGTTACCTTTAACAATGATGCAAAGCCACTGCCAAAGTGAATTTTGAGTGAATTTGATGTATTGCGAATCTGACCCTGGCTAGGTGGATAACCCCACCTTGAAAAGTTTACATGGTAAAATTTGACCTCAGCTGAGAGAGTTACCTGGTCTGGCAGACCGGGCTACCCTACCCATGATCAAATTAAAATTAGAAAACATATGGACTGGCAAGTGGGTTACCTCACCTGCCTCAGGTCCCCCACCTCCATGTAAACAGGCCCTTTTGGCCTGATGATACCTAGAAAGCTTTCATGGACTCATTTTACTGTTCATCTACATGTACTTGTGCTGAAAGGGGTACATGTGTTCACTGCATGTTTTTGCTGATCATCTGTGTTTTTATTAATCCTCAGTTGCACCAAGAATAACACTGCAATCTCCACGTACTGTAACAGTAGATGAAGGCAACACGATAACGCTATTGTGTGTTGCCACTGGCAACCCCAAACCAACTATCACCTGGACAAAAGGCTCTTCAATTAAGCAGGAAACCTCGATTACCAACTTCACCATATCATCAGCTGCCAAAGAAGATGCAGGGTTATACACCTGTACGGCTCGTGTTACTGCAGCGGACCTGAAAGTGCCATCTGATAATTACCAAGTGACTGTGACAGTGAGATGTTAGTGTGTTCAGTTTGTGTCAATTAATATGGTCTTTTTAAACTGAGTTCTAATTATTTGCATGAAATGTTATGTACATGTACTGCTGTATGCCCCATTTTCCTTAACACTTAATAAACACTGTATTTTTCCCCTGGTTTTCTGGCATTACACCTGTTTCAGGTGTAATGTTTCAGCCATCTAAATTCAGTTTTTGTTAGTTCAAGAGCCATTTTGAGTTTTTTCTGTTCATAATATCATGTTTTGCTTGCTTCACCTTCCATGCACATGTAGTTCGTACATGTAGTTCAAGCTACATGCATTTAAACTGAAGTCTATTATGACTGTCTAGTAACGTAGCCTGAAACTGTTTTGTTTGATGGAAAAAAGTTGCACTAGTAGATGATTCGTTTTCTGATGGATTCAAATAAAATCCACTTAGCTGCCCCAACAAGTTTTCGGGGACTCCTGACAAATTATTTATAGGCAAAATAAATCCAAATCAGACATACGTTTGTACATTGTAACATGATTAAAAACCCAATAAAGCAAGAGGCAAAACAGTTGTTTACATGTGAGGTGGAGGAGTTAAATTTGGAATAGCATGCGATCAAGATCACTGATCACATGCAAAAAAGCCAGAATCTGGACTTTTTTCTGATTGGGTAGGAAACAATACAGATGATTTTGTGCTGTTCCAGTTGGCCAAAATGCCGCCATCCATAAGTTGTTGATTTCAGTCTGTATTTTTTATTTCAAAAGAGACTCCGCGCCAAAATTTGATTCCCGTCTGGTAAATGCTGATTGGCTAATAACATGGCAGGTCAAGCAAACATTAGATTATGTAATCTAGGGAGCGGTTGACGGCTTGTTAAATGAATGTAGCAGGCGTTATTTTTTCCCTCTCGAGCCAAAGAAACAAAAAATAATAGTAATAATAATAACGCCTGATCTCAGGTTAAAGGGACAGGTTCACGGTTCAGCACATGCTCGTTAACCAAAGTGCTATTTTTCTGCGGGGACATGCTGTATCGTCTATGCAAGCAATATGATCATGTCATAATGTTGTCAAAGAACCAATCTGCACACTTCCCTGGCAGTCACTTGATCAACTTAGGTGCAAATAGCTGTAAATTAATCAACCATGGAATAAAACCCTTGGGTCAACAATAAATTCAACGTTGGTAGTGTTGGCATAATCCACTAATTTTCCTGCGATTTTAGTACTCTTCCAGCCCACTTCAGGTTACTGTGAAATACACTTCTACTTTGAAATACACTCTGAGATCACTGAGATACATGTGCGTGGGGTTATTAACCGATAGAATTAATAATAAATTGGAAAAATGTAATTTTATTAATGAGCATGCGCTGAACCCTGAACCTGTCCCTTTTAATTTAGAAATACAGGTCATATAACTGCATGTACTTAATAAACAAATCCAGCTAGTCATTAGAACAGGATTTGAACCTCTGGAATGCAATTCAGCCACACTGACTGATGGTAGCCTGCGTGTCATCACAGATGTAATCTATACCCCCAGTTAGTAAAGTCTGCGAAGCAGCACCAGGATTCTTGTTCTGACCCCCAACAAATTTCCCTTCAACCTGATTGGCAAATGGACGATGTCATCTATGGACAGGCCAATAATGGCGCAGTCTCAGATCCTGAGGTTCAGTTTTGTCTGTCACACAGGCTGCAATCCACCTGTAGGATTGGTTCCGACGCGTTCCATTTTTCCTTAATAATATAGTCTGAGTGGTCTCTAACCGGTTGGTCCGGTATAATGGAAAGCACCCCAGAACTAAGTGAACAACACAAATTAAAAGAAAGACTGTGAACAACGCAGACAGGAAACTGACGCAATGGACGCGTCACCTGGAACAAGAGTACGCGTCTGTGCTGACGAGTGTCCACGTCATGAAAAGATTTTTCTTTGTATAAATTCACTGTGACAGCTTTGCTTTTTGGGGGAATTGTTGTGAAAAACAAAGCAAATCCTCGTATAAAAAAGCATGGTAGTTACTCATTCTAAGGAACTTTTCATGAGGGAATTTGACCATGATTAATCGAGATAAATTTGGCGACGTGCAGGGTTTTCGTTTGTAAAATAATCGTTTGGCATCCTAGGTTTTAAATGTACAGTGAAACCCCACCTTGCGGCCACCTCGGTAATACGGTCACTTCGTTTTTAGGGCCACTTTGTTTTGGCCGCCTGGCAAAACGGCCATATATTTTCTTGAAAAAAAAAGAACGCTTGTTAATACGGCCTAATCTTTTTGGCCCATTGGTGATCGTATATTAACGGGGTTCCACTGTAATTGTAATTCTACAAATGCATGTTCTTACTCCTGAAGAAATATCAGAATTAGAACCTCTTATTAACGACCACCTATTCTAAGCGACTCACGACCACCTTTTGACCTGATAGCTTCAAGGTTTCCCTTGTTTTTAACCTCTTGTAAGTAACTAGTGGACATATAGTATATATAAACTCTTTGCTCGCTGTATGTACTACGCCACTCAGAGTGTACATAAAACTTTCAGTGACAACATGCATTTACAAGTACACCATTTATATTAGAGACCTTTAGCATCAGGTTTTTCATGGGAAACTGCAAACCGCAAAATGTCACGTGACCACGGCCTTGCGGTCACGTTTGTAGTTTGCAGTTCACGTTTGAACCGCAGGGAGGGCTTCCAGCAGTAAGTGATTTACGGCAAGGTTTTTTACCACAAAAAATTGTACAGCCTGACGTTTAGAGGTCTGAACTAGCTTTTTATATCCGTTTGCGATGTGTTTGTTGGATTTTTCATCTCGAATCAATGAATTATTGCTGATTTTTGGGCGATTAAAGTGACGCGCTTCGACTTAATGAAAATGACATGGCGGCCCTAAACAATGAACGCGTAGTTCAAATCGATTTTATATTCCTTCCTGCCGTACTAACAAAAGAAAGTATTCTGTTCCAATCCAGAGTTAAATTTTTTTTTCTTTCTTGTTACTGAATTCATAACTTAACTCAGTCTCTGTAGTTACTTAGTTCCTATTTTTAACGTATCACTCCGCGAATTTCATTTTATTTTGCTTATTTCTTTGAGACTGGGGAGCCCAGGCTTCATAAGCCTTCTGGTTTCTTCTGGGCTCCCTTGTAACCTTACAATTCCTATGTGATTGCTTGTATTGTATTATATTTTGGCTAAATAAAACTGAACGGAACTGAACTGAACTGAACGCCTTGCTAAAGTTTGAAATCTCGGCAACGCGAAACTGCAAACGCGTAACTGCAAACTGCGGTTTACGGTTTGCCTGATGCTAAAGGTCTCTATTAACTTAGAAATTACATACGATAAATTCTCTTACAAAAAAGAAATGTGTCGGGTCCTCTTCTTAAAAAGGAATAACCGTAAGGTTTGATTATCTGTCGCTCTAACTAATCTGTGGACAGAATCCTGTGGTCTCACCACTCACATCAAACCTCTTTTTCTGAACTTTTGGGCAGCAATTAGGGTCATTTATTTCGTAGGATTTTACTGTTTATACTACTACATGAGAAATTTCTACAATTTGATCGGCTTAGAGCAGTGGTATTTCAGCGTAATTTGAAATACCTACTTGTAAAAATTACAAACCTTTTGCGGGTAGTAGAATAAACAAATAATAAGCATGATTTGTAGATGATAGTTGGCACAAACATCACCTGTGATATTTCAAAATTGTCTCAAATTTTACTCGCCTAACGGCTTGTGAAATTAAATATAACAATTTCAAAATATCTAATCACTCGTGGTATTTATATACGAACTGTTTGATTGGTTACCATACTGCAGGAGTGAAATGGGGTTTTCTTTTAAGAGTGTGTAGATTGATTTTATTTTAATCCATTTGGTATTTATTTCGTCTCAGATGCTCCCACAGCAACTACTTTTACAACTGGAACTCCAAACAATGCTGTAGTACAAGGAACATCAGTAACCCTTACATGCAGTGCAAATGGATATCCAGCTCCAGTGTATACCCTAAAACTTGGAAACACAATACTTGTCCAGAACTCTGCGACAGGAACATATGACATCAGTAACGTACAGCTTAATACTCACGATGGTCAGGTGTATTCTTGTGAGCCAAGCAATGCAGAAGGAAGTGGACCACCACAAAGCCTTACTCTCACTGTACATGGTAAGCTCTAGCTGGTACATCTTTCAACCCCTAATATACAATATCCACATATAAATTCTCCACACTGGCCTCCTTACATTTCTTTCAAGTATTAGCTTAGAGAATCTGATAATAGATTAAAGCTTTTTTCCTCTGGGCCGGGTTGTTCGAAGCTGGGTTAAGATAGCCAGGGTTAGTGCAAAATTTGAACTTAGATTAGAGAGCTTAAAAAGTAAATCCAGGTTAATTCTCTTTGCCTACAACTTGATGACTAGATACTCTAAAAAGAATAGAGAAAATTATCCTAGAGAGTGCCTTTGATGAAAAGAAAAAGAAACCCAGGTAAGCGCTAAGCGGCATTCGGACAACTGGGCCCTGGTGATTATTTCACTTTTTCTCATAACGTTTCCTTTTATATTATTGTATTGATGTTGTAAGAAGAAAATTGTCGTTGATCACTTTTGGGACTTGAGGCAAATGCTGAATTATGCCTGGTCTTGAACTGAAGGACTGTCAAGGAAAGATCTGCAAAAACAGCTACTAACAGCAAAGTTTCAAGACTGTGTTCACCAAAAACTCAAATTTACCAACTTAACTCTCACTGCTCACTTTTGGGAGCAAGGCTTGGCGCAGTGGTGAGAGCACTGTCCTCCCACCAATGTGACCCGGGTTCGAATCCTGGCGTCGACGCCATATGTGGGTTGAGTTTGTTGTTGGTTCTCTCCCTTGCTCCGAGATGTTTTTCGCCGGGCACTCCGGTTTTCCCCTCTCCTCAAAAACCAACACTTCCAAATTCCAATTCGATCTGAAACGCAGGGAGACGTTTCAACGAGTTGTCATGAACTCCCAAGTGCTCCGTGGGTAAACAAATTACAATTACACTGGATATGTAGGATAAATTTGCTTCCTTGAAACTGAAGTTACGCTCACTGAAAGCTTGCCGAAGCTGCCAAACGGTTACAGAACCCCAGAACACCGCGCCGCAAGCACTGATCATCAGCGCGAATTTCTGAACGGCTACTTGACTGTACAACATCGTTCCTTGCAGAAAACAAAATCATTGTGTCAAAACCTTGCTTCTCGGAACTCGAGACTCGATCCTCGCGTCTCGAAACTCGAAACGTAATCGAGTCTCGAGAATCAAATAGAGACTGTCAACTTAGGGCCTGTTTACAAGGAGAGAGGGTTACTCTTGTGCTAGGGTTACCCTAGCAAGTGGGTTTAAGTTAAATCTGGTTTACAAGCAAATTTAGCAGGTAGGGTTACCCTATCACCAGGGTCAACTTTAACAGCTTTACTGACGTGTTTCGTCATGCGTGACATTCTTTGTAACGTTCAAGATTTGAAATAAGACTTGAGGTTCTCTATGGAAAATACCTCATAAAGTTCAGAAATTGGATAATTCCATCCAAATTGTCAAGATTACTGGTCACGCATGATGGAGGAAAGTTGTCCCTGGTAGGCGAGTTATCGTTAGCAGAGCGTTTACAAGGAAGATACAACGTAGGGTAACCGTCTTGCTAGGGTAAATCCTAGCACTCAGGTAGGGTTACCAGGGGGCAAAGAAAGTCATTTTTACAGTTTGCCATTCGGGCAAGCTGAAGCTAATATTTACTAGCCCAAACATCATTTCAACCAGCCCCAAAAACGTTTTGATGAGCAAATTGATGTAATTTGAATTCCTCAAAAAACACTTCACTTGCCCATGGGGCAAGTTAATAACAGAATTCACTAGCCCGATAGCAGAATTCACTAGCCCCGGGCTATCAGACACTACTTTCTTTGCACGCTGGGTTACCCTTAGGCTAATGTTAGGGTAACCCTACGTGTGCTGTAAACATGTCGTGTAAAAAAAGAAGAAATGTGTGAGTGCTAGGGTAAACCCTATGACAGGGTTGAAAAATCATTGAATTTTAGGGGAAGTCCTTGTAAAGTCCTTGAATTCCATTTTTCCTTCAAGAGTCCTTAAATTTCTATGCAAGTCCTTGAAAAGTCCTTGAATGTAGCGGCCTGGAAAGTGTTTTTTGATATTTTTTGGTTGTCCAAGACAGAATATGAATCATAGCTCAGAGAAGTTAACGGTTATTTACACAAAGTGCTCAATGTTTTATGCAATAATTAACTATTAATTTAAGACAGGTGAACTGAAAAATGTAGGGAAGTTGGTGAAGCAAACAGTTCAAGCCTTAAAGTCTTATTAGAATAGACTGGGAATGTGCAGTTTTGTACAATTATATTCCTAGTAGATGGTCCTGGAAAATCTAATGTAGTCCTTGAAAAGTCCTTGAAAAATGGTTACAATTTTTTGTATGAACCCTGTATGAGTGCAAGGTTACCCTAGTGTTAGGGTAACCCCACCTGCCTTGTAAACATGTCGTGTAAAAAAAGAAGAAATGTGTTAGTGCTAGGGTATAACCCTCTTGCTAGGGTAACCCTAGCAGCAGGGTCACCCTCCCTCCTCGTAAACAGGGCCTTACTTTTGAGCGGTACTGTATACAGTTTTTTTAACACACAAATTGAGGCTTTTCAATTTTTTTCCTATTTTTTATGCTGCGCTGTATAAGCAGTTGTAGGGTGGCGTTTTGTGCGTGCACAAGGCAACTCCAACAGGGAAGAGCCACCCATTGGATCTGTTAATAAACCATTATCATTATTATTATTGTTATTATTATTATTACTTATACACCTCATCTTAATAACAATAATAATAATAATCGTAATAATAATAATAATAATGATAATAATAATAAATAATAATAACAGAAATAATGCCTTTATTTCGCCCGTTAAAATACGTAAACGTTACAGAGAGTGAAGTATACAAATCATGAAAATCGAACAAATTATTTACAGTTATCATATAAAACCTGATAAAACATTGAATATCTATAGTGTTAAATTCCTAAGTTGTATTTAAACCTTATTCTATTAAAGTAACAATTGTTAAAACGTTCTGTATTAATCCGTGGTAATTGACTTGACTCAAAGGTGAATCAGAGCCACCCTGATTTTCACGTCTGTGCCATACCATATAAGTGATTTATTCTTTTGTCCCTAATGCAGAAGATAGAAATCACAGTTATGAATTTTTGTTGCTGGTTAGTGCTCTTCAGAACAGTTCACCACGTACTTTTTGCATTATCTTTCACAGTTCGTCCAAGATTTAATCCTCCTCAGACACTGCCAACAACCAAACAGATCAGGAACGAGAATCAAACTATGGACTACACTTGCACGGCTGAAGCCAAACCTTACGCAAGCATTCGCTGGATGTTAAATGGGCAGAATCTGACCAACATCGCACCTTACAACATCACAGAAAGAATTTCTGGCCCAGCAGCTTCAAGACTCTTCACGACCTTTGGATATCTGAACATAAAGCATCTTACGTGGCAACAGTATGGAAACTTCTCTTGTGTGGCTATCAATGATGCTGGCTCTGTAAAGCAAAACACGGAACTTGAAGTCAGATGTAAGTCATGAATACCATAAACTGCTGTTTATAAGCTCCTCTACTGATGAGCCCCCCTTCCCCTTTAAATCCGATTATAATCCCTCCCTGATACAATCCCCTTCATAATGTATTCAGATGGATTTGATTTATTTTGACGTTTTGATACTTAAATAAACACTAGCAGTGATTTTATTACAAACAGTTGTGGTGAGTCCTTGGACTTATCTTGTAAAAAAATCACGAGTCACAATCCAGAACCGATGAGCCCCAGTTCAAAAAACAACGAGTCCTCACTTGAAAATGCGTGGGATTTTATCAAACCAGGCATTTAATCTGAAGACAGACTCCAAAACTCCATAGTAGAGTATACTGAAATTAAAATACAGTCCTTCTATTTTAAAGCATAGCAAAGGCTAAATAAAACATTTAACCTTTGTTATGCCTTAAAATAACAGCCGTAACTGCCACAGAAGTCACTCGAACAGGATATTCCACAAAATCACATCTTCATATCGATCGACCGGTTTTGGCCATGCCATGAATTATTTTGCATCTATGGGGATTTTAATGCGTCAGAGATGCAGGACGCAGAGGTAACCAATTCACTGCACTAGTTAATGCAAGACGTATTTCGATCAACACTGACAAAGCTTCTTTCGAAACGCTTTTTCTGTTCAGGGGCGTAGCCAGCTTTTCGACTAGATGTAGGCCTGGCTGACCTTCATTTCAACATATCCTGAAAATTCCACGCATGACCAGTACGCACTGACCTCACCAACACTTTGAGCTCTTAAGCTTTTCAGCTCACCCCAAGAACGCATTATTTTTTACAAGCGGTATAGTGATCAAACCAAAAGTTTGTAGGCCCGGGCTCCTGCTGTTCCAGTTTTATACCCCCTTGGATATAAACTCCTCGGTTCATACGTTCTCCTAAAAACCCCATGCGAAGATGTATAAGGCTTAAGCCCAGGGCTTATTAAAAGCTAACGTTTACGGTATTATTAGGTCCTCTATCAGTGCTGGAAAAAAAGTAATGAATTCCAGCTGTCACATTTTGCTTGCTTGTCTTTGTTGATGGTTCAGTTGCAAGACGTTTTGCTCGAATCTTCGCTTATTGGGATTCAAGTGACCTTAAAGACTGCCTAGCTAGGAAATCTACTCGCCCAGGATGACTGGCCCGGGCCGGGATTTTTTGATGCCCTGATTCTATTCTATTATATAAAGTGAATCAGAGAATGCGAAATTACAAGAACATTCCCTCTGGTTTACCCCTTCTTGCAGTGAATTGCTGGTTTTCACATAACGTCGTCAAAATTCAATACTAGAGAATTATCAATCCTCTTGAGTTGTTACCTTCAAGAAGGATTGGAGCAGCTAAAAACTCATTTTCACGCAAATTTTCACTCCGAAAGGGCGCTTTGTTTTGCGATACAGTACGCTTGAATTTCTAAACCTTTGCGTGAAGCGGAAATTACTTGGCGGCCGAGATATCTGTCATGTGGGTTAAAAGAAGGGACTCATTTTGGGGCATTTTGATATAGGAACAGTCATTGTACTTGAAAACAGTATTACAGTACTTATTTTAAGAGTTCTTAAGAGATGAATTACGCTTTCATAGCAAAACGCAGTAACATATGTTTCTGTTGGTTTACGGTCGTCATGTTGGTAGTCATCCGGATGGACACCAACATGACACCATACAATGCTCTCTAAAGTTTGGGTAAAACATTTCTCCGAATATGTCGCATAATATTATGAAAAGTTGCACTTACCGGAATCTTGGTGAGAATCTTTCCATATTTATCTCCTTTCATATTCCAGATTCTGTTCTTAGTCTATTCAACGGTTTTGATTCTTATTTTTGATGGCGGGTGACAGGGAAAACCAGCAATACTCCTCATTCGCCGACCAAAACAAGATCTCCTGAGATTTTGATCTTCTGTTCATTTTGTTATCAGATCGACCAGTTGTTCAGTCTCCTGCTGATCATCTTAAAAACCTCACCCTGGCAGAAGGAGAGACGGCAACTTTCAACTGTAAAACAATCGGCAACCCACCAACCACAGCTCACAAATGGCAGTTTAAAGGAAATGATTTGCAAGGAGAAGCGTGCAATAATTGCCCAACAACAACTTTGAGAATAGGATCAGTAGAACGAAAGGATGAAGGATCGTATGGCTGTGTTGGGACTAATTCATTGGGTGATGGGCCTCCTGCGAAAGCACAGTTGCTTATTAAACGTGAGTAACCAGCGGCTACCATTTCTGATTTCAGCCCTTCAAGTTGCGATATGGGCATACAAATTCTACAGAATGACCTCCATACACATTTTCCCTTAAGCAGAGTTTGTCATGCGTGGAAAGTCATGAAATTTAACAATTTCATTTTCCAAGTCATAGAAAATTAAAGTTTGTTATGTTTGGTAGATTGGTTACTGCAGTTGTCAAAACAAGAAAGATAGAGACAAGTGATTAAACAGCACGAATGGCACCCTTTTTGGGGATACCAGAGTTTGTCTAATGAACTAAGTTTGGTCAAAAACTACCATTTGTAATGTTTGTGAACTAACTCCGCAATGCCCATACTGACAGTCTTTCTACATTAAATCTCTTAAATTATAGAACAAAAGGGCTTCAAGTGACTTACATTTTTCTTTGCCTACAGCCTGGCTATGTTAATGTGCAAAAACAGAAAAAAAAACTTATTAACTTTATGTCTACTAGTGTAATTTTTTATTTGTGAACGTTTTTGTATTTTACAAAGAAATAAAACCTAAGATGTACCGTTAAGATTAGACGTTTTGTTCAAGAGTGAGAATGTGCTGTCAACATTGCCAGCGAGAGAAGTTTTCGGCCAGTCAAGTCGCCGATCTGGCCGGTAACTGTCACTTGATCGGCCTTTATCTTGCGCCCTGGTTTATCATTCTTCTTTCACAATCTCATCTCATTTGCACGTGCATGCTTCATTTTCGTGGAGAGTAAGAAATGGTAGTTGATTTTTTTTTATAGGCAAACCAACAATTGACTATTTTCCTAAAAGTGTGTACACGATCAATGAAACCAACAACATCACCATGGTGTGTGGGGCTGATGGCGTCCCTAGACCAACCATTACTTGGAAGAAGATGAGCAGTGGCAGGATTGTAGGAGAAGGGGAAGAGTTTCATATCGTGGCCGCTTCTAAGACTGATGATGGTGTATACATTTGTTTTGCACAAAATGAGTTGGGCGATGATTCCAAAGGAGTCACACTCCAGGTTCAAAGTAAGTTAGTGGCTGGGTAGTATTAGAGACATTTTAGATTCTAAGGAGAGTACGACTACAAGTACGAGATTTTCTCAATAATAAGTAGTGTACGCGCGTGAACCAGCATCAATTTGGCGGGAAAACGTGGTAGCCGTCGTCGTTCTACTACGAGTTTTCGCGCGAATGTTGTGGTGGCGAAAACAAGATATCAAATGTTAAAAGTTTTATTATTTTGCCATCGGGAGAGCGCGTAACTTCGTTCACTAAAGATAACTATGCTAACTTTTCTAGTGAAAAATGGCAAAATGAAGCTTTCGGGTAGTCTTTATTTTGAGAAGACGCGAAAAAACTTCAGCTCAAATCTCGTACTCGCAGTCGTCCTCGTCCTGGTATCTAAAGGTCTCTAATGTTATGTTACGGGGTAACCTGCGTAGAAAGCGTTTTGTAGCCAGCGTCGCAGACGTAATTTATTCCCGGTTAATAACGTCTGCGAAGCAGCGCCCAAATCCCCGTTCTGGGCCCCCAACGGACTCAACGAATTACCGGAAATCGACCATGGCCTTTTAAACAGGCCAATCATGGCGCGTACTCAAATCTTGGTACACAGGGGGTGGGCCCAGCAGATGTATTTTGGCATTGTCTCGCAGACGTACTTAACCAGAGTTTTATAGTTTTGTTTGTGGCGCAGATTTTTACATGCATATAAACTGAAGTCTATTATGTCTAGTAACGTAGCCTGAAACTGTTTTGTTTGATGGAAAAAGTTGCACGAGTAGATTATTCGTTTTCTGATAGATTCAAATAAAATCCACTTAGCTGCCTCAAAAAAAGTTCTCAGGGACTCCTGCCATGAAAACCCCAATCAGGCAGGAAGAAAAACAGTTGTTTACATGCATGTTGCTGTATAACTACGTGTAATAAACAAATCCAGCTAGTAATTAGAATAGGATTTGAACCTCTGGGCCGGGTTGTTCAAAGCAGGGTTAAGTTAACCCAGGGTTAGCAAGAAATTTGATTTCAGATAGGATACCTTAAAAAGAAAATTCAGTTTTATTCCTTTTCCCTACAATTTCATGATTGGATGCTCTAAGAAGAAGAGAGAAAATTATCCAGGGAAAGGCTTTTGAACAAAAGAAAAGGATACCCAGGTTAAAATTTAACCCTGGGTTAGCATTAGTCGGCCTTCGAGCAACTGGGCCCTGGAATGCAATTCATGGCCACACTGACTGTTGGTAGCCTGCGTGCCGTCACAGCTGTAATCTACCCCCAGTTAGTAATGTCTGCGAATCAGCGCCAGGATTCTTGTCCTGAGCCCCAACAGTCTCAGTAAATAACTAGAGGTGCGTTGCAAATTTCCCTTCAACCTGATTGGCAAATGGACGATGGCATCTATGGACAGGCCAATGATGGCGCATTCTCAAATCCTGAGGTTTAGTTTTGTCGGTCGCACAGGCTACAATCCACCTGCAGGATTATACAACATTCTGAAACTGTATTAATAAAGTTTTTTTTATGTTTTTAGACAAGCCTCAAATAACTTTTCTGACCGCGAATCAAACAGCAAATGATGGCACTGATGTGTCATTCTTCTGTCGAGCTGATGCTGTTCCCACACCTACCGCATACAACTGGTTTAAAAATGGAGTAACAATACCCAGTGGTCCAAGTGGAGATTTTGTCAATTCTGGTCAAGAATTAACAGTGAAAAATGTTAAAAAGGACAGTGCTGGCCGATACAGTTGTTCTAGCACGAATATTGTCGGAACTGGAGAAGAAAAATCTACTTTTCTCGCTGTTAACTGTGAGTTAAACTTATTTTTTTCTTAGCAGCTTCTCTTAAGTAAACTTGTTTTCTTACCCTTTAACTCAAACTACATGTAATCTTTTTGCACCTTATAACACTTGGTCAATCCAAAGAATATCATAAAAATTAGGGCCCCCAAAAACCCTTAAATTCAGCTTGGTCTTTTGGACAGTCAAGCAGCGCCCTCTTTTTGCTTGCTTAGTTTTCTTTTTCCATCATTCCTCTCCGGCCCAGTTTAACTTGAAAACAATGTACTAGTGATAACCAAAGGTTAGGAAATGCAGGCGAGTTTCAGGATTCTGATCGAAGTCAAAATCACTCTCGCTTCAATGCTGGTTCATTAAACATGTTTCACGCGATAGAAGGTCAAAACGTGCATGATCAGATTACAAGCGAAAGAAGGTCCAAATGCACATGAGCACATGGCATTCTATGCATTTCATAATATTTAGTGGAAGTAAAAATGAATGCTGGCTACATTCCATAATAGTATATGTGCTGCAGTTAATTTTTTATTTCACTTAATTTTTGTTCCTCCTTTGTTTTGAATTCATTAGCACACATTACCATACCCAAAAACAATGGAAAAAAATTAACTGAAATAAAAAATTAACTACAACATACACATCTAGCCGGGTTTACGAAAACCCGCACAAGTGGACTCCTGGAGACCACACACCTTAAACTGACTCAACTAAAATAAATATTGTCCAGAAACTCAGCTCTTACCCATGGTTCTCTTAAGGTGACTCTCTTCTTGGTTCCTGATTAGCAAAAGAAACATTCAAGTCCATGAAAAAGACACTCTGGACTTGGCCATACACTCTAGCTGCTTGAAGGCTCTAAATGACAGAGGATGCTTGATACTTAAGTTCTAAGCAGAGAATTCAAGATTAAATCACCCCCCCTGACATCCTCCCTCCCAGCCTAGCACGTGGTTGAGGGGAATGCTTTTGTTGGCCAATGGGCCTCAAACATTACAAGAATTTGACATGACAAACTAAAGGCAGACATGACGAGTGCACTGACTCTCCCAGAGCAAGACTAACTGACAGTACCACGCTTTTGCAGCACCCTCCCCCCTAAGTTTTGATATGGAGTCCCCTTCCCAACCCATGGCGAGCTAGCTCAGGGACTGGGCTTGACAATGAGACCAACCAGGACAGCAAGTTCCTTAGGTTTTTTCTCACCGCAGTGACCAGAAACCTGGCTATCGCCAGGCTCGTGTAATCAGTGTTCTTCTCATCTTACCGCCGGCAACGGCCTGAAGGCTTACTGAACTTAAAGAAGTACTTTTAAAAAATACACTTCAAACTTGTGATCTGATCCGATTCTTACATGCCACAAGGAAATGAACGAATATATGTAAAAGTACTAAAGTATGGACAGCTTTTCTTTTTATGGGCCGTGCATTTTGGAAAAAGAACATTGGAGAAAGAGTAAAATTATTGTAATCAATCGTTTTAAATTGTTGTATAAAGGTAGAAACGGCCGTTTTGCATAAAATAGGGCTGGAAATAGGGGAATGACGTTTCAGAAAACTTATCAGCTCCTAAATTTCCCAGCAAGGGCGGGGTCATGTCCTGCACTCCACTACCACCCTGCCCCCAAGAAAAGTGCATCTCTAGTGCATATTTTTTGCCTTACTGGCTATGAATGGTCCAATTATCTGCTTATCTATAATGAGCATAATTATTATTATGGCAGTACAAACGTCTAGATGCCCAGAGTAAAAATTAGAAGCTGTGGATGAGCGGCAAATCGTAACCAGTCGTAGCATCGACTAAAATTTGCAATAACAATTATACAATAATTTGCGCAAAAAAAACCTGGATAAAAATGATTTGATAAAAGTGTCATAAAAAAACTTACAAGCTTTATGGACGTCTTGATTATAAAATAGAAATGTTCATAAGTTAAAAACTATCGTTCATATAGCTGTCCATTAAACTGTGAGAACGTCTAAGGTATGTCAATAAAATTTACAAGTTTAAGTATCTGTTAAAATAGGTGTTTAAAATTCTTGTAGATATCTAACCGCTCAGTTTGAATATTCTAGCAATGTGTAATGAACTAGACAGGATTGTCTTCTGCATTTGGCGCATAACTGATTCACACTTGTCTCCTGCAAGCTCTTTTATATTTTGCTCAACCTCTTTCGCACATCCTCCAAGGACATCGATGATGATGTTATATTGATTGACCTTGTACTGAAGATATCGGTTCGTCAGCTCTAGTCTCAGTTGACTGTACTTCGTTGTCTTCTCGAAATCTTTAGACTCTCTATTTCTCTATTTTCCAGTCATGGACAGCTGAGTTCAATCTCTCTGACTTGATTTCTGGTCTTGTCAATGATCGTGGCATCGATTCTATTAGCTTTTACTCGAGTTGTGTCAGCGAATAATAGGACGTCCCAGAAGGCGGTTGCACGCTCATTCTCGTACAGCGGCTTGGTTGTAACTTGTGAGAACCACGGTTCAACTTTAGCAGTAAATAATAAATAAATAAATAAATAAATAAATAAATAAATAAATAAAGATTTGGAGGTAGCACATGCGCAAAGTGGTTCTTCGTTTACCTGATTCCTGGTCGAAATGGAAGTTAGAAATGTTCGTTTTTGAGGAGAGGGGAAAACCGGAGTACCCGGAGAAAAACCTCTCGGCGCAAGGGAGAGAACCATCAACAAACTCAACCCATGTATGAAGTCGAAGCCGGGATTTGAACCCGGGTCGCATTGGTGGGAGGTGAGCGCTCTCATCACTGCGCCATCCCTTGCTCCCCTTGCTAATGAGATCTAAAGATCTAAGGACTTCAAAGTGTATGATCTTGAAAGCATTGTTATGTCTCTGTAGCTACTTTGTAGCCAGTGCACTTCAGAATGTGCTGCACATTCTCCAGGGAATCCCGCATAGGCGGCATTTTTCATCAGTGACTTGTGATTTTTTTTTCTCTTGTAGTAAACCTTGGTAGGTAACAGTTGTTGGTAAAGTTCTTGTACTCCAGCGATGGTATCCGTTGGGGCATTCTTCCATAAAGCAAGTCACGCAAAGCACTCCTCCAGTTTAACTTTCTCGTCGTCCCATCTGTTCTTGATAAGCACTCCTTGTCCTCTCCCTCAGATATCGTTGATTGTATCTCCTGCTTGCGGGCTTTGTAGATGGCCTGCTGGGGCAGGGAAGTTTAACCACAACTGTAGATCCAGCTCCTAAGCGTACTTCTTAGCGTTTTTAATGATGGAGTGGCGTCCATTCTGTACGGCTAGCTCTTCAAACGATCTTACGGTTATCATCGTAGGGTCAGCGTTGCAATAGAGCTTTACTGCTGCTTTGATCTTAGTGTTCTTGTATTCATTCTCCACGGACTTGAGACCTCCGTCCACCGAGCTTCCTAGACATCTAGAGTATCGCTGTAGATCCCTTAGGGTGATTTCCTCCATTCTCCACGATGGTCTTTCTTCCCTCTCAGTCAAGCTGTCGGATGTTTGCTATCGGCCAAGTTGGTGTCCACATCAAGTATGTAAGTACTGGTTAAGGGTACTGATTGAACGCCACTACATTTGCCTGATCTGACAATGGGCTGGACCAGATGATTGATAGCCTCTGTAAGTATGTCTTTGCTGCGGCTTCCAATACTTGCTTGGTGTTTTCGAAGACGCCTAGGAACTTATAGTTGTTATGTTGGTCCAGGCTCTTGATACGTGTAAGATCAGCTATCTTCATATCTCCACTTCCTTGCTCAACTTGTCCCCTTTTAACGTGTATCACTGCACACTTCTTCTCATTCCACTTCAAACCGGTGATTTCCATTCCATTCTTTGTCACTGTCATGACTCGTTTTACTAGCTTGTTCTCAGAAGCAGCAAACAACTTCATGTCGTCGATGTATAGCAGGTGAGTGGTCTTAGTTGATATAGGCTTAGATCGCCTGTATTCCTCATCCGTACCTTCCATGCGATTGGATTTAAGCACGACATGAACAACATGGGACAGAGCGCATCACCTTTCGGCAGTCCTTTCTTAAAACGTATTTTAGGAGAGATGTCTTTGCCTTTGGTCGTTTGGGCAACAATCCTAGTATTCCAGCTGTTAGCAAGCTTCTCTATCACCTTAGCAAGCCATATAGGGAACCTCTGTAAGGTGAACACTTCAGATAAGCAACCATGATCAACAAAATCAAACACATGTCATTATTATTATCGTTATTATGAGTATTACTAGTTTATTTATTTGTAGGTGTTTTGCTTTTAGATGCCCCCCAGACAGTCACTGTAACACCCAATCCAGCAGTCGTCAAGCTGTCACAGAGTATAACACTAGACTGTGCAGCTGATGGGTATCCTGTTCCAGCCTTCTCTTGGCAGTTTAACGGAGCGGTTGTAGGTGGAGCTACACAAAAGACTTATGCTTTGAATAATGCAAAAGTTGAAGATGCTGGTAACTATTCATGCCTGGCGAGGAACTTTCGGGGCACTAAAAAGCCACTCGAGTCGTAAATGTGGAATGTAAGTACAGTGGAACAGCAGTGTATGTGCACAAAATGATGATGTTTAATACAGTCGAACTTCCATATGTGACCACCTCTTGTTATGCGACAACCCCCCAAATCCAAACCCCCAATTTTCCCAGTGAGGCCAGGGATGCTTTCCATTATGCCAAAATTTCCGGAAATTTCGGTCCAAACGTGAATGGAACGGTTCGGCCCAAGAGGAAATTTTGCTGTTAAAGTGCTGTTAAAGTGGTCCACCTCCAGAAGTGGTCCTCTTTGACTGGTTGGTCCGGAAAATTGTCGTCCCGTTTTCAGAAATTGTCGTTTTCAGTCCCGCTTCAGCTGGTCATTGCACACAGTAGTCAAAATGGCGGATGGTTCAGATAAAAAGTGTTTACGAGGGCAGTGTGTGTAAGCTTCAGACGCAAGACCTAAACTTTGTCCTTATGCACAGTTGCACAAAAGACTCAGGTACAGCAACGCATCTTAATTTGTTTTTTCTTCTGGTTTTCATCAGTTTTCAAAGACAAATATATTACGGGCTTCTCCGAATGTTGACGATGTTTTCCCGAGTTTTTCTCTTCGCAGTATGTAACCCTAGCCCTAACTACAATACCCAACAATCAATTCGGTCGAAGTTTTGGTAAGGACGCGTTCCGTTTTCTCTTAATTAGTTCGAGTGGTCTCTAACGGGTATAATGGAAAGCACCTAGAACTAAGTGAACAACGCAGACAGGAAACTGTCGCAAGGGACGCGTCAGCTCGGACGAGAGTACGCGTTTGTGCTGACGAGTGTCTATGTCATGAAAAGATTTTTCTTTTGTATAAATTGACTGTGACAGCTTTGCTTTTGGGGCATTGTTGTGAAAAACAAAACAAATTCTCGGGTAGTCATTCATTCTAAGGAACTTTTCACCATGATTAATCGAGATAAATTTGCAGACGTGCTGGGTTTCGTTTGTAAAATAATCGTTTGGCATCTTAGGTTTTACATGTACAGTGAAACCCCACCTTACGGCCACCTCGGTAATACGGTCACCTCGTTTTACGGCCTGTTTGTTTTGGGCGCCTGGCAAAACGACCCTACATTTTCTTGTAAAAAAAAAAACCCTCGTTAATAAGGCCAAATTTTTTTGGCCCACTGGTGACCGTATATCAGTGGGGTTCCACTGTAATTGGAGTTCTACAAATGTATGTTCTTAGTCCTGAGGAGATACCAGAATTAGAACCTCTTGTTAACGACCACCAATTGTAAGCGACCCACAACCACCTTTTGGCCTGATAGCTTCAAGGTTTCCCTTGTTTTCAAACTCTTGTAAGTGACCGCTTACAAGAGTATATTATATTATACACTTAATGTCAGATCCCGAGGGAAACAGTTAGTTTTGTTTTCCCGAGAGCCCTGAGTCGAGGGAAACATCAGGACTCGAGGGAAAACAAAACTAACTGGTTTCCCGAGGGACCTGACATTAAGTGTTTTGTTATATTTCTAGAATTTCACTTCAACGGCAACAAAAGAATAACATGAGCGAACCAAAACAGTCAACTCGGTACTTATAACAACACAAATTTAATTCTTAAAACCACTTAATGAATGATTTACAAAAGTACTTTCCTTATATTATCTGAATGTTATTCCTCCACTTGCTGCCGTTTCTCTTCTGGGATGACTCGAAAAATCGTTGCTTTTTAGCTTAAGGATTCGTGTTCGTGGTCAAGCTGTTGTGTTCATTCACGAAAAAGAAAGCTACTTTCTACCATGCTTTAATCACGTGTTGTAATGTAACCCGAGTGGGGTACATTACTTGATCTATCACGATCGACATGCATTTGATTTCAGTCAAGGCCACGTGACCAACAATCAACCAATGGCAGTCCCTGTTTAGTTGAGTGAAAGTCTGGGAATATAACAAAACTCTTTGCTCGCTGTATGTACTACGCCACTCAGAGTATATATTAAACTTTCAGTGACAGCATGCATTTACAAGTACACCATTTATAGCGGGGCTTCCATACAGGGACAGAACCCCATACTCATAGAATATGGTCAACCGAGCGTACGTACGTAGGCGTCTACAGTTTGTATGGGTGGGGTAGGGGGAGACCATGAAAAAGAAGTGAGGGGTGTCTAAAAGAAGGAATGCCGGGTTCACGCACTCGTGCGTCTTGTTATATCTAATTTAATGAAGTCGAGCCTAGTTTATGGGGCTATTTAGTTTATGCACATTTGTAAGATTTGAGTCAATGATTTGACCGAGTACCAGGTATAGGTGTCGAGTACAAGCTTACAGAACTTTAAAAGCCTTTAGACATTTTCTCACCGCAGATAGAAAGAAAACGTTCCAAAGAATACGTAGTTATTTTTCTGGCTGTAAAAGAAAGCTGTCAGCGATTTTCTTGCCTCGAGTTCATCTTTGAAAAAAGCAAACACCGGGAAGCCGGCTTAAAACACAAACCAGCTGATTTTACTGTGAGCTGTTTTATTGGTTACCATACTGTAAGAGTGAAATGGGGTTTTCTTTTAAGAGTGTGTGGATTGATTTTATTTTAATCCATTTGGTATTTATTTCGCCTCAGATGCTCCCACAGCAACTATTTATACAACTGGAAATCCAAACAATGCTGTAGTACAAGGAACATCAGCAACCCTTACATGCAGTGCAAATGGATATCCAGCTCCAGTATATACCCTAAAAATTGGAAACTCAATACTTTTCGAGAACTCTGTGACAGGAACATATGACATCAGTAACGTACAGCTTAATACTCACGATGGCCAGGTGTATTCTTGTGAGCCAAGCAATGCAGAAGGAAAAGGACCAACACAAAGCCTTACTCTCACTGTACATGGTAAGTTCTAGCTGGTACAGCTTTTAACCCTTAATCCCCAGTATCCACACATCAATTCTCCAGGCTGGCCTCCTTACATTTCTCAGATATGAGAGCTTAAAAAGAAAATCCAGTTTAATTGTCTTTGCCTACAACTTTATGAATGGATACTCTAAAAAGAATAGAGAAAATTATCCGCGCGAGTGCTTTTGATAAAAAGAAAAAGGCCTGGGTTAACATTTAACTAGACAGGATTGTCTTCTGCATTTGGCGCATAACTGATTCACACTTGTCTCCTGCAAGCTCTTTTATATTTTGCTCAACCTCTTTCGCACATCCTCCAAGGACATCGATGATGATGTTATATTGATTGACCTTGTACTGAAGATATCGGTTCGTCAGCTCTAGTCTCAGTTGACTGTACTTCGTTGTCTTCTCGAAATCTTTAGACTCTCTATTTCTCTATTTTCCAGTCATGGACAGCTGAGTTCAATCTCTCTGACTTGATTTCTGGTCTTGTCAATGATCGTGGCATCGATTCTATTAGCTTTTACTCGAGTTGTGTCAGCGAATAATAGGACGTCCCAGAAGGCGGTTGCACGCTCATTCTCGTACAGCGGCTTGGTTGTAACTTGTGAGAACCACGGTTCAACTTTAGCAGTAAATAATAAATAAATAAATAAATAAATAAATAAATAAATAAATAAAGATTTGGAGGTAGCACATGCGCAAAGTGGTTCTTCGTTTACCTGATTCCTGGTCGAAATGGAAGTTAGAAATGTTCGTTTTTGAGGAGAGGGGAAAACCGGAGTACCCGGAGAAAAACCTCTCGGCGCAAGGGAGAGAACCATCAACAAACTCAACCCATGTATGAAGTCGAAGCCGGGATTTGAACCCGGGTCGCATTGGTGGGAGGTGAGCGCTCTCATCACTGCGCCATCCCTTGCTCCCCTTGCTAATGAGATCTAAAGATCTAAGGACTTCAAAGTGTATGATCTTGAAAGCATTGTTATGTCTCTGTAGCTACTTTGTAGCCAGTGCACTTCAGAATGTGCTGCACATTCTCCAGGGAATCCCCGCATAGGCGGCATTTTTCATCAGTGACTTGTGATTTTGTTTTTCTCTTGTAGTAAACCTTGGTAGGTAACAGTTGTTGGTAAAGTTCTTGTACTCCAGCGATGGTATCCGTTGGGGCATTCTTCCATAAAGCAAGTCACGCAAAGCACTCCTCCAGTTTAACTTTCTCGTCGTCCCATCTGTTCTTGATAAGCACTCCTTGTCCTCTCCCCTCAGATATCGTTGATTGTATCTCCTGCTTGCGGGCTTTGTAGATGGCCTGCTGGGGCAGGGAAGTTTAACCACAACTGTAGATCCAGCTCCTAAGCGTACTTCTTAGCGTTTTTAATGATGGAGTGGCGTCCATTCTGTACGGCTAGCTCTTCAAACGATCTTACGGTTATCATCGTAGGGTCAGCGTTGCAATAGAGCTTTACTGCTGCTTTGATCTTAGTGTTCTTGTATTCATTCTCCACGGACTTGAGACCTCCGTCCACCGAGCTTCCTAGACATCTAGAGTATCGCTGTAGATCCCTTAGGGTGATTTCCTCCATTCTCCACGATGGTCTTTCTTCCCTCTCAGTCAAGCTGTCGGATGTTTGCTATCGGCCAAGTTGGTGTCCACATCAAGTATGTAAGTACTGGTTAAGGGTACTGATTGAACGCCACTACATTTGCCTGATCTGACAATGGGCTGGACCAGATGATTGATAGCCTCTGTAAGTATGTCTTTGCTGCGGCTTCCAATACTTGCTTGGTGTTTTCGAAGACGCCTAGGAACTTATAGTTGTTATGTTGGTCCAGGCTCTTGATACGTGTAAGATCAGCTATCTTCATATCTCCACTTCCTTGCTCAACTTGTCCCCTTTTAACGTGTATCACTGCACACTTCTTCTCATTCCACTTCAAACCGGTGATTTCCATTCCATTCTTTGTCACTGTCATGACTCGTTTTACTAGCTTGTTCTCAGAAGCAGCAAACAACTTCATGTCGTCGATGTATAGCAGGTGAGTGGTCTTAGTTGATATAGGCTTAGATCGCCTGTATTCCTCATCCGTACCTTCCATGCGATTGGATTTAAGCACGACATGAACAACATGGGACAGAGCGCATCACCTTTCGGCAGTCCTTTCTTAAAACGTATTTTAGGAGAGATGTCTTTGCCTTTGGTCGTTTGGGCAACAATCCTAGTATTCCAGCTGTTAGCAAGCTTCTCTATCACCTTAGCAAGCCATATAGGGAACCTCTGTAAGGTGAACACTTCAGATAAGCAACCATGATCAACAAAATCAAACACATGTCATTATTATTATCGTTATTATGAGTATTACTAGTTTATTTATTTGTAGGTGTTTTGCTTTTAGATGCCCCCCAGACAGTCACTGTAACACCCAATCCAGCAGTCGTCAAGCTGTCACAGAGTATAACACTAGACTGTGCAGCTGATGGGTATCCTGTTCCAGCCTTCTCTTGGCAGTTTAACGGAGCGGTTGTAGGTGGAGCTACACAAAAGACTTATGCTTTGAATAATGCAAAAGTTGAAGATGCTGGTAACTATTCATGCCTGGCGAGGAACTTTCGGGGCACTAAAAAAGCCACTCGAGTCGTAAATGTGGAATGTAAGTACAGTGGAACAGCAGTGTATGTGCACAAAATGATGATGTTTAATACAGTCGAACTTCCATATGTGACCACCTCTTGTTATGCGACAACCCCCCAAATCCAAACCCCCAATTTTCCCAGTGAGGCCAGGGATGCTTTCCATTATGCCAAAATTTCCGGAAATTTCGGTCCAAACGTGAATGGAACGGTTCGGCCCAAGAGGAAATTTTGCTGTTAAAGTGCTGTTAAAGTGGTCCACCTCCAGAAGTGGTCCTCTTTGACTGGTTGGTCCGGAAAATTGTCGTCCCGTTTTCAGAAATTGTCGTTTTCAGTCCCGCTTCAGCTGGTCATTGCACACAGTAGTCAAAATGGCGGATGGTTCAGATGTAAGTGTTTACGAGGGCAGTGTGTGTAAGCTTCAGACGCAAGACCTAAACTTTGTCCTTATGCACAGTTGCACAAAAGACTCAGGTACAGCAACGCATCTTAATTTGTTTTTTCTTCTGGTTTTCATCAGTTTTCAAAGACAAATATATTACGGGCTTCTCCGAATGTTGACGATGTTTTCCCGAGTTTTTCTCTTCGCAGTATGTAACCCTAGCCCTAACTACAATACCCAACAATCAATTCGGTCGAAGTTTTGGTAAGGACGCGTTCCGTTTTCTCTTAATTAGTTCGAGTGGTCTCTAACGGGTATAATGGAAAGCACCTAGAACTAAGTGAACAACGCAGACAGGAAACTGTCGCAAGGGACGCGTCAGCTCGGACGAGAGTACGCGTTTGTGCTGACGAGTGTCTATGTCATGAAAAGATTTTTCTTTTGTATAAATTGACTGTGACAGCTTTGCTTTTTGGGGCATTGTTGTGAAAAACAAAACAAATTCTCGGGTAGTCATTCATTCTAAGGAACTTTTCATGAGAGAATTTGGCCATGATTAACCGAGATAAATTTGGCGATGTGCAGGGTTTCGTTTGTAAAATCGCTTGGCATCCTAGGTTTTAAACGTACAATGTAACCCCACCTTATGGCCACCTCGGTAGTACGGTCACTTTTTTTTGGCCGCCTGGCCAAACCGCCATACATTTTCTTGTAAAAAAAAAAAAACCCTCGTTAATACGGCCACTTTTTTTTTGGCCCATTGGTGACCGTATGTTAACGGGGTTCCACAGTAATTGTAATTCTACAAATGTATGTTCTTACTCCTGAAGAAATACCAGAATTAGAACCTCTTGTTAACGTAAGCAACCCACGACCACCTTTTGGCCTGACAGCTTCAAGATTTCCCTTGTTTTCAAACTCTTGTAAGTGACCGCTTACAAGAGTATATTATATTATACACTTAATGTCAGATCCCGAGGGAAACAGTTAGTTTTGTTTTCCCGAGAGCCCTGAGTCGAGGGAAACATCAGGACTCGAGGGAAAACAAAACTAACTGGTTTCCCGAGGGACCTGACATTAAGTGTTTTGTTATATTTCTAGAATTTCACTTCAACGGCAACAAAAGAATAACATGAGCGAACCAAAACAGTCAACTCGGTACTTATAACAACACAAATTTAATTCTTAAAACCACTTAATGAATGATTTACAAAAGTACTTTCCTTATATTATCTGAATGTTATTCCTCCACTTGCTGCCGTTTCTCTTCTGGGATGACTCGAAAAATCGTTGCTTTTTAGCTTAAGGATTCGTGTTCGTGGTCAAGCTGTTGTGTTCATTCACGAAAAAGAAAGCTACTTTCTACCATGCTTTAATCACGTGTTGTAATGTAACCCGAGTGGGGTACATTACTTGATCTATCACGATCGACATGCATTTGATTTCAGTCAAGGCCACGTGACCAACAATCAACCAATGGCAGTCCCTGTTTAGTTGAGTGAAAGTCTGGGAATATAACAAAACTCTTTGCTCGCTGTATGTACTACGCCACTCAGAGTATATATTAAACTTTCAGTGACAGCATGCATTTACAAGTACACCATTTATAGCGGGGCTTCCATACAGGGACAGAACCCCATACTCATAGAATATGGTCAACCGAGCGTACGTACGTAGGCGTCTACAGTTTGTATGGGTGGGGTAGGGGAGACCATGAAAAAGAAGTGAGGGGTGTCTAAAAGAAGGAATGCCGGGTTCACGCACTCGTGCGTCTTGTTATATCTAATTTAATGAAGTCGAGCCTAGTTTATGGGGCTATTTAGTTTATGCACATTTGTAAGATTTGAGTCAATGATTTGACCGAGTACCAGGTATAGGTGTCGAGTACAAGCTTACAGAACTTTAAAAGCCTTTAGACATTTTCTCACCGCAGATAGAAAGAAAACGTTCCAAAGAATACGTAGTTATTTTTCTGGCTGTAAAAGAAAGCTGTCAGCGATTTTCTTGCCTCGAGTTCATCTTTGAAAAAAGCAAACACCGGGAAGCCGGCTTAAAACACAAACCAGCTGATTTTACTGTGAGCTGTTTTATTGGTTACCATACTGTAAGAGTGAAATGGGGTTTTCTTTTAAGAGTGTGTGGATTGATTTTATTTTAATCCATTTGGTATTTATTTCGCCTCAGATGCTCCCACAGCAACTATTTATACAACTGGAAATCCAAACAATGCTGTAGTACAAGGAACATCAGCAACCCTTACATGCAGTGCAAATGGATATCCAGCTCCAGTATATACCCTAAAAATTGGAAACTCAATACTTTTCGAGAACTCTGTGACAGGAACATATGACATCAGTAACGTACAGCTTAATACTCACGATGGCCAGGTGTATTCTTGTGAGCCAAGCAATGCAGAAGGAAAAGGACCAACACAAAGCCTTACTCTCACTGTACATGGTAAGTTCTAGCTGGTACAGCTTTTAACCCTTAATCCCCAGTATCCACACATCAATTCTCCAGGCTGGCCTCCTTACATTTCTCAGATATGAGAGCTTAAAAAGAAAATCCAGTTTAATTGTCTTTGCCTACAACTTTATGAATGGATACTCTAAAAAGAATAGAGAAAATTATCCGCGCGAGTGCTTTTGATAAAAAGAAAAAGGCCTGGGTTAACATTTAACCCCAGGTTAGCGCCCAGCGGCGTTCGAAGACTGGGCCCTGTTGATTCTTTCACTTTTTCTCACAACTTTTCTTTTTATATTATTGTATTGATGTTTTTAAGAATGTGTCCAGGGTTCGAATCCTGGCGTCGAAGCCATTATGTGTTTGAGCATGTTATTGGTTCTTTTCCTTGCTTCGAGAGGTTTTTCTCCGGGTGCTGCGGTTTTCCTCTATCCTCAAAAACCAACATTTCGAAATTCTAAGTCGATCTGAAACGCACGTAAGTGCTCTGTGGGTAAACAAATTACAATTACAAATTACAAATGCACGTGAAACTGCCCCTTTTTATAACAAACGTTTTTCGAAATCTTTATTATTATTTGTATAAATCCGCAACAAGATCTATCATCCATGCAGATTTCTGAACATGGCGAGCAAAGGCTACATTACACTGGATATGTAGGATAAATCTGCTTCCTCGAAACTGAAAATATCGATTTTCACTTATTGAAAGTTTGCCTAAGCTGCCAAACGGTTACAGAACACCCAGAACACTGCAGCGCAAGCACTGATCATCAGTGCGAAATTCTGAACGGCTACGTGACTGTACAACATCGTTTCTTTCAGAAAACAATTGAAAATTATTGTGTTGAAACCTTGCTTCTCGGAACTCGAGACTTGTTCCTCCAGTCTCGAAACTCAAAGCGTAATCGTGTCTCGAGGATCAAATGGAGACTGTCAACTTACGGCCTGTTTATAAAGAGAGAGGGTTACCCTTGTGCTAGGGTTACCCTAACAAGTGCGGCGTAAGTAAGCCTGGCTTAAAAGCAAATTTCACAGGTAGGGTTACCCTATTACCCAGGTCCACTTTACCAGCTTTACTGACGTGTTTCGTCATGCGTGACATTCTTTGTAACGGTCCAAGATTTGAAATAAGACTTAAAGTTCTCTGTGAAAAATACCTTTAAAAGTTCAGAAATTGGATAATTCCGTCCAAATTGTCAAGATTACTGGGTCACGCATGATGGAGGAAAGTTGTCCCGGGTAGGAGAGTTATCCTTAGCAGAGCGTTTACAAGGAAGCTACACTTTAGCGTAACCGTCTTGCTAGGGTAATACTAGCACTCAGGTAGGGTTACCCTTAGGCTAGTGTTAGGGTAGCCCTACCTGTCTTGTAAACATGTCGAGTAACTGAAAGAAAGAAATGTGTGAGTGCTAGGGTAACCCAAGCACTCTGGTACGGTTACCCTAACACTCTAGTAGGGTTACCCTAGTGTTAGGGTAACCGTACCTGCCTTGTAAACATGTCTTGTAAAAAATGAAGAAATGTGTGAGTGCCAGGGTATAACCCTTTTGCTAGGGAAACCCTAGCAGCAGGGTTACCCTCCCTCGCTCCTTGTAAACAGGGTCTTACTTTTGAGCAGTACTATATATAATTTTTTAAACACAAATAATGAGGCTTTTCAATTTTTTTTCCTATTTTTTATGCTGCCCTGTATAGGCAGTTTTAGGGTGTTGTGTTGTGTATGGACAAGTCAACTCCAACTGTACTACTTATTCACCTCATCTTAATAAAAATAATAATAAATAACAATAATGGTAAATGACTTTATTTCGCCTGTTAAAATACATAACAAATGTTACAGAGGCCAAGTCTACAAATCATGAAAATCGCACAAATTATTTACAATTATCATATAAGACCTGATAAAACAGTGAATATCTATATTGTTAAATTGCTAAATTGTATTTAAACCTTATTCTATTAAAGTAATAATTCTTAAAACGTTCTGTTTTAATCCGTGGTAATTGACTTGACTCAGAGGTGAGCTAGAGCCACCCTGAAATTCACGTCTGTGCCACACCATATAAGTGATTTATTTCTTCTTTCCCTAAGCAGAAGATAGAGATCACAGTTATGAATTTTTATTGCTGGTTAGTGATCTTCAGAACAGTTCACCACGTGCTTTTTGCATTATCTTTCACAGTTCGTCCAAGATTTAATCCTCCTCAGACACTGCCAACAACCAAACAGATCAGGAACGACGATCAAACTATGGAGTACACTTGCACGGCTGAAGCCAAACCTTATGCAAACATTCGCTGGATGTTAAATGGACAGAATCTGAACAACATTGCACCTTACAACATCACAGAAAGAATTTCTGGCCCAACAGCCTCAAAACTCTTCATTACCTTTGGATATCTGAACATAAAACATCTTACGTGGCAACAGTATGGAAACTTCTCTTGTGTGGCCATCAACGATGCTGGCTCTGTAAAGCAAAACACGGAGCTTGAAGTCAGATGTAAGTCATATATACCATAAACTGGTGCTTATAAGCTGACTGAGCTACGCTAAATGATGAGCCCCCCCATACATCCGATTATAATCCCACCAAATATAGTCCCCCTCATAATGTATTGAGATGAATTTGGTTTATTTTGACGTTTTGATACGTAAATAAACACTAGCAGTGATTTTGTTACAAACAGTTGTGAGAGGTCCTGGGACTCATCTTGTTAAAAATCACGAGTCACAATCCAGAACCGATGAGCCCCAGTTAAAAAAACGAGTCCTCACTTGAAAATGCCTGGGCTTTTATCAAACCAGACTTTTAATCTGAAGACATTACCCAAAACTCCATATTACAGTTTACTGAAATTAAAATACAGTCCTTCTATTTCCGAGCGTAGCGACCTTATAATCGTGTCGCGCGCGAAGCGCGCGCACAGTCTGCTTACCGCGCGGTCTTAGCAATGGTCTTAGCCAGCTGCGAAATTCGAGGCTTCATAAATATGCTTGGTATATTGCCCTAGTTAATGCAAGACGTATTTCGATCAACAATGACATAGCTTCTTTCGAAACGCTTTTTCTATTCAGGGACTTAGCCATCTTTTCGACTAGTTGTAGGCCTGGCTGACTCTCATTTCCACATATCTTGAAAATTGCACGCATGACTAGTACGTACTGACCTCACTAACACTTCGTAAGCTTTTTATCTTACCCCAACCAACTGATGAAACCAAAAATTTTTAGGCCCGGGCCCTTACTACTCCAGTTATATACCCTCTTGGATATAAAATCCTTGGTTCATGGGTTATAAGCAAAAAAGTTTACTGTATCAGAAAGTCCTATATCAGGGTTCGAAAGAAAGTACTGAATTTCAGCTGTCACATTTTGCAGTCTTAGTTAATGGTTTAGTTACAAGACGTTTTGCCCGGATCTTCGCTTTTTGGGATTCAAGTGACTGCCTGGCCAGAAAATCTACTCGCCCAGGATGACCGGCCAGGGATTTTTTCATGCCGTGTTCTATTATTTTCTGTTATGTGAATTAGAGAATGTTAGTGATGATAACAACTCTCGTTGAAATCACAGCGTGATTGGGAAATTACTTGGCGGCCGAGATATCTGTTATCTGGGTTAAAAAAGGGACTCATATTGAGGGATTTTGAGATCCGAACAGTCATTGCAATTGAAAACAATATTACAGTACTTTAATTTTAAGAGTTCTCAAGGGATGAATTACGCTTTCGTGGCAAAACGCAGTAACAGATGTTTTTGTTGGCTTCCAGCCGTCAAGGTGGTAGCCATCCGGATGGACACCAACAGGACACCATACAATACTCTGTAAATTTTGGGTAAAACATTTCTCCGAATATCTCGCATAATATTATGAAAAATTGCACTTACCGGAATCTTGGTGAGGATCTTTGCATATTTACCTCCTTTCATATTCCAGACTCTGTACTTAGTCTATTCAACGGTTTTGATTCTTATTTTTGATGGCGGGTGACAGGGAAAACCAGCAATACACCTCGCTCGCTGACCAAAAGAAGATTTTGATGTTCTTTTCATTTTGTTATTAGATCGACCAGTTGTTCAGTCTCCTGCTGATCATCCTAAAAACCTCACCTTGGCAGAAGGAGAGACGGCAACTTTCAACTGTAAAACAATCGGCAACCCAGCAACCACAGCTCACAAATGGCAGTTTAATGGAAATGATTTGCAAGGAGAAGCGTGCAATAACTGCCCAACAACAACTTTGAAAATAGGATCAGTTAGACGACAGGATGACGGATGGTATGGCTGTGTTGGAACTAATTCATTGGGGGATGGGCCTCCTGCGAAAGCACAGTTGCTTATTAAACGTGAGTCGCCAGTGGCTACCATTTCTGATTTCAACCCTTTAAGCCCCGATATTCGTATACAAATTCTCCAGAATGATCTCCATACATATTTCCTTTAAGCAGGGCTTGTCATTCTTGGAAATTCATGAAATTAGGCCGGGATAGTCATAGAATTTGAATTGTCGGTCCGGAAAAGTCATGAAAAATTAAAGTTTGTTATTTTTGGTTGACTACTTACGGGAGTTGTCAAAACAGAGAAGATAGAGGCGAGTAATGAAGCAGCACAAATGGCCCCCTTTTGGGGACACCAGAGTTTGTCTATTGAACTTAGATAAGAAAAACTACCCTTAATAAGGTTTGTGAACTAACTCAGCAATGCTCATACTGACAGTCTTGCTACAATAAACCCTCAAATTATACGTTCAAGTGAAGTACACTTTTATCTGCCTACAGCCTGGCTGTTAATGTGCATAAACAGAAAAAAACTTATTTACTTTATGTTTACTAGAGTAATTTTCTATTTGTGAACGTAAGAATTGACTTTTAGTTCAAGAGTGAGAGTGTGCGGTCAACATGACCGGCAGGAGAAGTTTTCGGCTGGTCAAGTCGCCGATCTAGCCGGAAATTGTCCGTTGATCGGCCTTTATCTAGGCCCTGCTTTATCATCCTTCTTTCATATTCTCATTTGCACGTGCATGCTTCATTTTCGCAGAGAGTAAGGCATGGTATTTGATTTCTTTGTATAGGCATACCAACAATTGACCATTTTCCTAAAAGCGTGTACACGGTCAATGAAACCAACAACATTACCATGGTGTGCGGAGCTGATGGCGTCCCCAGACCAACCATTACGTGGAAGAAGATGAGCCGTGGCAAGATTGTAGCAGAAGGGGAAGAGTTTCATATCGTGGCCGTTTCTGAGACTGATGATGGTGTATACATTTGTTTTGCCCAAAATGAGCTTGGAGTTGATTCCAGAGAAGTCACACTCGACGTTCAAAGTAAGTGTTCAATGGTCAGATGATTAGTGACTGGGGAATGTTATGTTACAAGGTAACCTGCGTAGAAAGCGTTTTGTAGCCTGCGTTGCAGACCTAATTTATCCCCCGTTACCGCCTGCGAAGCAACTCCGAAATCCTTGTTCTGGGCCACCAACGGACTCAACGAATTATCGGAAATGCGTTTCGAATTTCCTTTAAACCTGATTGGCAAACCGGATTTTTAAACAGGCCAATTATGGCGCGTACTCAAATCTTCGTACACATGTAGGGGGTCCAGTAGAAGGATTTCGGCGCTGTTTCGCAGACGTACTTAACCAGAGTTTTATAGTTTTATCTGTGGCGCAGGCTAACGTCTTGGCGCGAGCTTGTCGACAAAGTTATTCTGAGAGAACAGCCGACATTGTACTACTCCACCAGCGGCTTCCCCGCAAAATGGCGTATGAGGAACGAGCCCAGAAATTCCATTTTCATCTGATGACTTACAATACCCTGAGATCAGTAGTGCTTCTGCTTGGTTGAAAATTTGTTTCATGGAGGAGAGGGCTTGGCATACGAAAGTCGCAGGTTCGATTCTTCATTCTTTTCATTAGAAACAATGTGAAACACAGGTCAACATTCGTGATATTTTACTGAGTGTAAGCTGCTACCTCTATTTGAATTCTGCAAATGAAGACATCTTTAATCCTCTCAGGTAAGGATGAAAAATAGTACAGTACTTACAGGCACATCTAGTCAGATGCTCTGAAGCATAAGGGCTGCACACAATTCTTTTTGGCTGTGACTCCCGCCCCATGTTTCTTACTTCGTCTCCTGTTCAGTAGGTTATGTCTGTGTATGACTGTGGTGGGAGAGGGGGAAGAGGGAAACTCTTTTACGGGGGCGCAATTGGCTGGCCGGACCATGGCGGGACCAGTCAGTTTAGCAATGGATTAAGCTTTTTCAAAGAGTTTTTGCTGAAAAACCGACCCCTTTCGGCTGCATTCGAGCATGCTACTTAGTATTTGACTGATCTAGGTGGATAGTTTTGATTAAAAGTGAATATTCATCACGACGAGAGTGGTCTGGCCAGTCAGTTCTGACAAATGAAAAGAACCTTAGTGTAGGGTTAAACTCTTGATCACCCTTCTGTGAAGAGCCCTAACGACTGCCTTAGAACATAGTGTGACCTGCATTTCCAATAAAAATTTGTTACAGTTCGCCCCACCATTCTGACATCTACTCCTATAACTACAAATATCCCTGGCGCTGCTGGCGAACAGGTGGATTTGACTTGCATCGTCAAGGGCAAGCCAACACCGACTCTGTCCTGGAGACGAGATCCACAGGGAAATGATCTCTCAGCTATTGACGAGAAAGTTGAGAGCATCACCAATCAAGTCAAGGCTACTACGATGAAGATCATTGTCACTACAGCAGGGAAAGAAGTCGGTGATAAGTTCTACTGTGTTGCTACCAATGTTCTTGGTAATGACACACAGCAGTACATTATACGAGAGAGAGGTAGGTGCTAGTTTAGATGTTAACGGTGAGAAAAAAAAAACAACCGTGAGACCCTTTTCGCTCCCCAAGGCATCACATATCAAACATCAAATCGAAAGAACAACAACAACAAAAAAAAAAACAGTGAGTACCGTGGGAGAGTACTGCTGGGAAGGTTACTTGATGGTAACACTGCAGGATTTAATCCACAGACCCAACAGATGAGACCAACTTGTACAGCATAACAAACAGCAGCACAGGAAAGTACCACACAGTAGCTTTCCTTTGAATGGTCAGACTCAGTAGGTAGAGCCGCCTTGTGACATCATAATAAACTGTAACACAGGAAAGTACTATTCAGTAACTTTCATTTGAATGGTCACATCACAGGATTTCATCCACAGACTGAACAGATGAAACCGCCTTGTACAGCAGAAAAAACAGCACCACAGGAAAGTACCACCAAGTAGCTTGCGTTTGAATGGTCACACCGTGGGTTTTTATCCACAGACTTAGAACCACCTTGTACAGCATAAAAGTGTAACAAATAGTCAGATCGAAACTACAATCCACGGTCATCACTTTCCGCTGCTTGTCGCAAGTCTTGCGAAGAGAGGTGGCTGTTTTCACCGATTACCAGGTGGCTGCTCACATTGCGCAGCAAGTTGTGCGATGTAAACGACTCTTACTGAGGCTAACATCACACGACTCCTGGAAGAATTTTCGACCGACCGTAAAATTTGACCAGACACCTCTTTTACACGGAACCGTTCAATACTTTCGCTCTGTTCACACGGAACTGACGACGAACTACGTTGAATATTCCGTTTTTTCAGTGGTTTTACCATCTGCTCATGCGCTGCAGAGTGTTACTTAGAAAATACGAAATGCTGCCTCCCAGCTGAAATACCACGGATCCATGCAACACGCTTTTTTAGGAAGGAAATTTAGACTGTTACGGTGCTCACTCTACGCTGGTCAAATTTTTGACCGTACCGGCGAAAAAGATTACTTCGATTTTGTAGTCAAATTTTTGGGCGGCTAGGCGTCTAAATTTTCGTTTATTTGGGGTAAATTCTGTTCTAAAGTCATGATTTAGTGCTTTCACCCATATACAAAATGCTCTTGTGTGGAGTTATAAAGAAGATATCAAACAAATTTTATAGGGGAACAATAAACATAATAATTTTTTTGTGAAATTTTGCGGGCATAGCTTTGGAACTTGAAAAAAATGGCCTAACGTTTAAAAATTTTAAGCCATTTTCATCCGTGCCATCCGTCCAAACAGACGACATGAAACAGTTTCAATGCTTAAATACAGTCTTAAATAAAAAAAAACTGGACCTTTATATTTAATTGGAATTCAATCAACGCGAAGACACGTTTTAGTGTTTTAGAAAGATAGCAAATGGCGTGATGTCCCCGTGGGCCTTATTCACACGGCAGCCATTTTGTCCCGAGAGACTGAAAAAGCTTTGTTTTACCACCCTCGACCTCGAAGTTAAAAACTTGGGAGCGAGGCTAGACAGATAAAACAAAGCTACTTTAGTCTCTTCGGACAAAATGGCCTCCGTGTGACAAAGGCCCATGAAGGTGGTTTCGTGTGAACGCAACACGTACGTGTGAACGTAACCTGAGTGGCAACCCAACAACACTGTTTTGCCATTTGATTCACAGGGCCTCCAAATGCTCCTCAGGACGTGAAAGTGGTTCCGTTCAAAGTCCCCAGATCGCAAACAGTGAGTGTGAACGTAAGCTGGACTCCTGGTTACAGTGGCGGCTATGATCAGCAATTCTCAATTCATTATCGTAAGAAAGGAAGCGGCAGCGATTTTCATGAAGAATTCATTGGTCTTCCCCCAAATAATATGCATACCGTTCAACAACTAAGCCCCAAGACAGAATATGAATTTATGATGCAAGCGTCGAATCAGCGGGGAAATAGTCCAACTTCACCTTTGGCTCAAGTTACGACTCCAGGTAACATTAACATTTCTATTGTCAATCAGAGCTGTCATTAAGAGGCGGGGGCCGGGGATTTCCCCCGGTTACTATGTATGTGCCCGTCTACTTTTAAATAGAAGAAACATACATGTAGTACTAAAAGAAATCGCTAGCTGTTTTATTCCCCGCCTACTTGTTGTGTTTACCCGGCAAGTTCAAATTTTAATCGGTAAGCCTTATGAAGAAACATGTCTCACGACTAGCGGAGTCTGCCGTCGTCCAATATGTTACCGTATGTCTTCTCGCTGAAACACTGATCTAGGGCTTGACACGGAAAAGCATATCATTGCGAGCTTTTTGTGTGGGCGGTGACGAGTCTCTGGCCTTAAAAAGTAGTTTGTGGGTGTCAAATCTATTCGGCCAGCGCAAAATTGAAGTTAATTTCTGACCAGGCCAAATTTGTTTTGAAGGCCGGCCTCTGTGTGTCCCTTTCAAAACGGCTCGTCTACATAAATCGACTGTGTCAGCTTTTACATGCATGTGATGATTTATGTGGAAAAAGCGAGAGATTGTTGAGAGAGAGTAATTTGATGATATTTCGCCCGTATTAAGTGTGGAAACATTGTGCCTGGTTGGTTGTGGATAGTTTTATCACAGCCGCGAACGTGGTTAATTGTATGATTTCCTGAAGTTGTGGACAGACAGATTTCAGGTATGTCGTGGCGCTCGTGTTATAAGAATATCGTGTACAAGCAAAAAAACGCTTTGCGAGTGTTTTTTAGTTGAAGCAATTTTGTCTTAGACAAACGATTGTGGGGTCAAGAATGGTGATACTGTAGGTCTGTTTAAGTCGGGCATCTCGCTATGGGCCTCATAGTTTGAGAGACTAACAGGTCATTATTTCTTCGCTTTGAATATGTTGTTCATTTCGTTGCAAATCTGTCGCTTTTGCCAAGAGCAACTTTTGGTGTGTTGCCAGCGATTTATTTGTCCGTTTTAAGCCTTAACTGGCGACTTTCAACCGCTTTTTTTGGACATCAAGGGTCAGATTGTTAAAACGCACTTGAAATGAATTTCTGTAGGTACCTTTTTATAAATTCAGACAGATACATATTAATCGTCATTGTCATTGCGTTTTTAGCTGCAGCAGTGGCCCCACCCAGAGGGACAGGTAAGCTTTAAGGTCGGTACACATTTGGCGACAAGTTGCAGTAACACGTTGCAGCGACACGCCGCAGCGACAAATCGCTTCGTGTGTGCTGGAGAATTTTGTGAAAATCTTTGTCTCCGCAACATAATTTTGTCGCTGCAACAAGTCGCAAAAAATCAAATCAGACAGAATTTGTGCGACTTGTTGCTGCGACAAAACTCTGTTGCAGAGACAAAGATTTTCACAAAAATTCTTCTGTACACACGAAGCGATTTGTCGCTGCGACGTGTCGTCGTAACGTGTTGCTGCAACTAGTCGACGGACCTGTACACATGGAGTGATCTGTCCCCGCGACTTGTTGCTGCAATTTGTCGCTTAGTGTGTACCGACCTTTACAGTCTAGTCAGGCCAAGCGTATCCCCTAGATTGTATTTAATGAGTCGATTATTTGAAAAAGTGAATCTGTCAGCCCTTGTCGCAACCAGTATCAAATTCGAATCTGCATTCCCATATTAGTAATGTGTTGTGATTTATCTTTTGACTACTCAGTGTTTGGATGGATAAAATTGCTTTTAAGACACGTCAAATTCCGTTGGTAGCGTCAATCACGCGTGAATTATGCGCAGTAAGGATTCGCAATGCAGTAATGAGGAATTACTTTATTGTTTTCTTCTTTCATTCGTTAAGTGAAAGCGACAAGAATATCGGACGACCCAACAAAAATAGTCGTAACCTGGACAGTGACAGATAACCTAGTAAACAAACTGAAACTTGAGATTTTGGAGGACGGGGAGGGTAGCTGGTCGGCTGTGTCTGGTGCCAGAGATATGACCACATATACAACCGAGTTTACCGTGGAAAACCTTAAGGCTGATGCCAAGTACAAGTTTAGATTGGACATGAGACGGCCTGGAGAAAACAGTCCTACATATGTCGAGAGTAATGAAGGTGGGTCGTGCGTCAAAAGCTTTTTATTTCTTTTAGCCCTCAAACCCTATTATCAGCATGCAAATTTTCTACACTGTCTTACACACCTTCCCTACTGCACTGATAAGGAAAATTTGAGAAGGGACCGGAGAAATTGCGTACTTTTATGTTTTATCAAAGGGGTAAAGAAACGACGATGAATTTTTGGTTTTCCTTTAGAACTTGGATACTTTTCTTAGGAAGTGAACTTCAGGAGGGTTCGTCTACATTTGAAAAAGTGAACGAGTTGGGATAATAGCGCTGAAGGTTCAAAGAACCAGACGTCACTTTTTAAGTGACGTTTTCGCCGCCGTCCCCGTCCTGATATTCAGGGAACATAAACAACAACGACGGCATCAGCTACGAATATGTCACTTAAAAAGTGAAGTTGCGCAGCTTGAAACTTTGTCGCGCTTAATCCATCTCGTTCAGTTCGTGAAATGTTGGGAAATTTTTTGGAGTTGAATTCTACAGGACTGTATCAGGAAAAGAAAAGGAAAGTTGTTGTCGTGTGATCTCGGACTTGAGACGGAAGGCATCATATTGCACGCTTTCATGTCGGGGGTGACGAGTCTCTGGCCTCAAAAAGTAGTTTTTGGGAGTCAAATCTATTCGGCGAGAGCAAAATTGAAGCTGATTTCTGACCAGGCCAGAGCTTAGTTAAATATTGTTTTGAAGGCAGGCCTCTGTGTTTCCCTTTCAAAACAGCTCGTCTACATCCGGAATCTTCGATAAATCGACTGTGTCAGCAAAGTTTTCATGTGAAGGTTTATGTAGAGAAAGCGAGAGTTATTGAGAGAGACTGAGTAATTTGATGTGATTTCCTGAAGTTATTGACAGACAGATTTCAGGCATGTCGTGGCGCTCGTGGTATAAGAATATTGTGTACAAGCAAAAAAACGCTTTGCGAGTGTTTAGTTGAAGTGATTTTGTCTTAGACAACCGATTGTGGGGTCAAGAAAGGTGATTCTGTAGGTCTGTTTAAGTCGGGCATCTTGCTGTGGGCCTCATAGTTTGAGAGACTAAAAGTCATTATTTCTGCGCTTTTAAATATGTTGTTCATTTCCTTACAAATCTGTCGCTTTTGCCAAGAGCAACTTTTGGTATGTTGCCAGCGATTAATTTGTCCGTTTTAAGCCCTAAGTAGGGACTTTCAACCGCTTTTTTTTTCACATCAAGGGTCAAATTGTTAAAACGCTCTTGAACTAGTTTCTGTAGGTAACTTTTTATAAATTGAGACAGATATATATTAATCGTCATTGTCACTGTGTTTTTAGCTCAAGCTGCAGCAGTGGTCCCACCCAGAGGGACAGGTAAGCTTTACAGTCGAGTCAGGCCTTGGAGCGTATCCCCCTAGACTGTATTTAATGAATCGATTATTTGAAAAAGTGAATCTGTTAGCTCTTGTCGCAACCAGTATCAATTTCGAATCTACATTCCTGCATGCGTAATGAGCTGTGATTTATTTTATGACTACTCAGTGTTTGGATGGATAAAATTGCTTTGAAGACACATATTATAGTCATGAAAACCGAGCTGGTAGAAATCTCATATCTACCTCGCGTGTGAATTCACTGCTCATTTCGCATGCAAGAATGTAGGGATGACACTGAAATCAACAACTACCAACGGATTCAACTTTCGAATAATACATTAATGATGGAATCTTGTGGGTACGCTTAACCTGGCTTGTAATGTATTGGGTTCCTGTGTGTCCTAAAAGTTGTTCTCATGGCTGACTTACGGCTGCAGTGAACTCAAAAAAGCAAACATCAGGAGGAAACAGTTCACCATCGTTAACAGACAGTTAACGATGCAACGTCCTAGCGCCGGAGTACGATGAGGGGCGGCTGTATTCGTAGGCTAACGAAGTCGTTGTTCAACAAGTTTTGACTTGCGAAAGTCGATTCATCGCCTTATAAACTTGCGTCGCAAATGAGTACCGCCAGGATCACCAGGTCATTCTTCTGAAATAGAAACTGCAGTGGGAATTTTGTGAAACTTGGTGAACTTGAAGTTTGAAATAAAATTGGAGGGTCCCCATACTCGTTTAGGAGCAACGACAACTTGTATATACGCAATAATTCCTTTAAAAACCAACAACATAATAAGTTTTTTAACGAGCGCATGCTTTTAACACGTTCAGACGATTGTTTTTTTTTCTGCATTTCTGCACTGAGAATTAGTCTTTATTTTTTCTAGAGAAAGAAAGCTATTGCTCATTTTAGAAAAAGGGTAAATGATAGTTCTTCATAATCGTTTAAGAGAAAATGGAGATTTACATCTGTGGGAAGCTCCATTCTGTTTGGATGCTCGGACCAGACGTCACTAAACCTGAAGAACACTATTTGTGCTATTTCAAAAATATTCATTATTAAAAAAAATTACCCTTTTGGGGTAGATGATGTTTGAGCAAATTTGGTCTTATTCAAAAGACCATTTTTTTTCTTCACATTGCATGTATACGACGAAAACACTCGGTCGGAAAATGTCTGAAGGCTTTTTAAAGTTCTGTAAGCTCATAGCAAACCTGATCAAAGCTTAACAAACGTCCATAATCGGGCATAAATTACCGCATAAACTACGCTCGACTTCGTAAAATAAGCATCAAATAAAATAATTACTCAGGCTTACCGGTCGAGATGCAGATCCTGAAAGCCATCAAGTAAGGCCAGAATCGCTTGAGACTTTTCAAGCAAGGTGAAGTGAGTAGGCTCATTTTTGAAAACGATGCTCTCCGAAATCGGATTTCCCACAAGCGGCGCATTTCTTAACCAAAATCCAATAAACAAACCAGCCATGAATGACAAAATTAGATATTCTTGGTAGTAGCTGTATTTCATTTTGTAGATCCAGTGGTAGTTAAAGTCATCAGAAAATGACGCAACACTTGGTCAGCTTCCATCAGTAAACAAGTTT